CCTGCCGAGCTGTCAGCTGCTGGTGAGCACCCACTGGGTGCCCAGTTCAGATCCTGTCCCTGCTGTGGGCCCTGGAGCGAGTTATGAAAGCTTATCCTCTTTTTGACTCTGTTTCTTCACAAGTAAAATGGGATAATAGTCTTGCCTGCTTCATAGTGCTGTCTTGAGGATTAGCAGTGTCCTACTGATGCTGGGAAAGATTGAGGGCAGGAGGAAAAGAGGGCGTCAGAGGATGAGATGGCTGGATGGCATCACTGATGCAATGGACATGAACTTGGGCAAACTTCGGGAGATGGTGGGGGCAGGGAGGCCTGGTGTGCTGCAGTCCATGGGGTGGCAAAGAGTCGGACACGACTGGGTGACTGAACAACAACAGCAGCATGCTGGCACAACTGCAGGGCCCTCAGTTTGTAAGTGCTCTTCTCACCCCTGGAGATGCCCTCAGCCATAAGCAAGCTGGTCTCGCTGCCTTCACAGTGTCACCTCTTCCGCGAGGCCATCCTGGCTCCATGCTGGACTGAGGCCTCTCTGCGTGTCCCTGGCCTTTCCCTCCCAGCCTTGACCTTCTGGGGGTGATGGGGCTTGTCAGATCCTCCACCTGCGTCTCCACCTGCCTTCCGCTGCCTGGGGCTGCACAGGGCAAGGGTAGGTCCATCAGCTGTGGGGTCCTGTCATTTCCTTCATCCGGAGCCTCTCCCCCTTGGTCTTTCTTTGTTATGCCTCCATCCTTGTCCTGTGTCTTCCCCGGTCCCTGCCTTGCCCTCTGCCCCTCTCTTTGTTCATCATTTCCTATCCCCCCAGGACCTGAGCCCGTATCCTGGTCCTGCCCCCCCCCCCCCCGCCCTCCCCTCCACTTCCCAATGCCACCAAGTGCTGGCCTTGGCCCGCCAATTCCTTCTGTACTTCACCTCTTTTTATTTCTCTATCTCACTCTCTTGTCTCTGTCCTTCCATGTCTCTTTCCCATGGGCTCTCTTGAGCCAAGAGCCTCACCTGTGACCTCCCAAACTGGCTTCTATTTTGATCAGTTCATGAGGGATCACCTTCACCAACACTCGCTGTGATTGTGCAGAGTGAGGTCACCAGGGCTTCTGCCCCCAGAGGCGCCACCCCACTCCCTCTCTGAGCTGGCCTTGTGGAGCCTCAGTTTTCTCATCTGGTGAAAGGGAGCTGCTGAGACCCTATGAACATTTGTTTTGAGGACCAGAGATACTGCTGGTAGTAAAGTGCAGAGTCCCAGTAGGTGCTCAGTTAACAGTGGCCATGATAATGAAGGTGAGATGGTGCGGCTGTTTGTGTATTTTGTTTTCTATTTACTTCAGACTGGGGAGGGGAGGGCAGCAGGAAGCCAGGGGCCCCTGCGTACCTAGGTGTGAGGGCTGCCTGCTGCAGTGTGACCCCAGATGGGTCTCCCCCAAAACACTTCACTGCTTTATGCCCGGGACTCAGTTCTCTTGAGCGGTCACACTTGAGGCTGACTGTGTGGCTCTGGGCTGCTCACTTTCCGTGTCTGAGCCCTCTGTTTCCTTCTCCATTTTATGAGGGAAGAAAAACCAGATTCAACAAAAAGTTGGATCTGAACCCTAAGATCACAGCCCAGGACAAGGCTGTATCTCTCTCATGTATCTCTCTCCCTCCAGCAGCACAGCCTCACCACCCCCACAGCCCTTGCAGACCACGCACAGCTCCGGGACCGCCAAGCCCCCCTTCCAGCTCTCCGACCCACTCCAGCAGCAGGAAGAGCCAAGAGCCGCCAGCAGCTCAGCGCCCGGCCGCTCCCCGTCCGCCCTGGGCCTGCTCCCCGCCATCGCTGCCAGCATAGTAGCCTCCTTCCTGCTGCACACCCTCAGACCCTCCTGACCTCGGCCGCATGCCTGCCCGGTGCAGAGGAAGAAGCCAGAGAAACCGACGGGAAGGTCTGCATCCGCACCCACTGCCCCTGCCACCCTCCAGGGGTGCTCAACACCTCTCGGGCAGTCCAGACGGGATCCGTTAAAACACTAGAGCTTTATTGTACCTGACTTACATCTTCTTTTTTGTAGAAGGATCTTAATTTCCCATAGTGCTATGGGGCTCTTTTGTAAAATATGTGTCTATATTAAAAAAGAAAAATGTATTTATTCTACTGATAAAACTATTTTTATGTGGCCGATGTTAATAACTAGCCCCATCGCCAACCCAGGAGGTGAACCCAGGTTGCCAGGACAACTGCGACCTTGCAGGGACCGTGGCTTTGAACTGGCTTGCTCCTGGATCAGTGGAGTCCTCCAGCGTGCGGGTTTGGCTTCTCCCGCCGTGGAGTCCTCAGAGGGAGAGGCAGGCAGACAGGCTTAGCTTTTGTGAAACTGGACTTGGGAGCCAGAGATGTGAACGCTGACGGTCCTTCCTTCCCCTGGATGCATCCTGGGGCTGGGAAGGTACTTTAGGAAAGAGAATGCTGCTATTTTGAAAACCCTGAGTGTCTGTGAATTGGCCCTCCAGAACTCTTGGTAAGTGTTCCGACCAAAGCACTGGGGTGGGGCAAGGGCTGTTGGTGCTGAGGGAGGTGGTCCCCCCAGCCCCAAGTGACAGATGGTTAAACTGAGATGGTTAAATTCACCAAAGAGAAGAAGGTGGTTGCCCAAGGTCACAAAGCAAGTGGGAGATCCAGGGTGTGAGTCTAGACCCCTCCGTTCTGGCTGGTATCGCTAATCCATCTCGGCTTACAGGAGAGGCTGTTGAAGTCTGAAGTCATCACCAAATGCAGTGAGCTGAGCCAAAGGGTAGGAGTGGGTATAGAAGGGCAGTTTTAGAGACAGGGCCTCTAGAAATTCCATGGTAATGATACTTGTAATGAGAGCTGCCATTAGTTCAAAGTCTGCAGTGTGGCAGGCATTTTGCACACTCACTTTATCACGGATCCTCACGCCAGTTCTGTGAGATGTGCTTGTCCCCATTTCACAGATGAGGAAACTGAGTCCCTGTATGAGATAAAGGGACTTGTTCAATGTCACCCAGCCAGCGCCTGGCCCTAGATCAGTGTGATTCAAAAGTAACGCTGTCTCTTGGACCATAATCTGTCAGGTTCTCTCTGCAGAGGAAAGTTCCAAGGGAGGCAGATCTCACCCAAATGGGCCAGCACACGCTTCTTACTGCAGCCAGAGAGACCGCTTGGCTACAGTCACCCCGTTGGTCCCTCCAGCCAAAGGGCTCTGGCAGCAGGCTCTGCCACGTGTCCCATGCCCCAACTTGTCTTATCCTGGAGCCAATGAGAGGCTTTCCTGCCAAATCAGAGAGGCTGGAGGATAGTTGTGATGGGCCTGAAGAGCCAGAGCAGCCAAACGGGGGCAGGCAGGTCACCGAGTCTCAGAGAAACTGACTGGCTCCTCTGTCCCCAAGGTGATAGCCAAGACAGAGGGCCCAGGTTGGCTGCGTCCCAGCCCTGAGCCCTCACGGGGTTGGCAGCTCGTTAGTTACAGAGTCCTGGAATGCAAGAGCAGAAAGGTCCCTCATTTGACAGAAAAGAACAGTGAGAAGTTAAGGCCCAGAGTGGCGAGGTACTTTCCCAAGGCTGCACAACCGGGCGGGTCTGCTGACCCCCAGCTAGCTCAGTGCTCCTCAGCGATGCCACACCATGGGCTTCCCTAGCAGGCCTGGTAGTGTCTGATTAGCATCAGTGCCTTTGTGCCCAGCTTGGCAGCTGCCTCCCTTCTGAGACAGTAGGATTCTGGGCAACCCAGTGGATGGTCAGAAGTCCCGGGGCATCTTGGCAAGCAGCTGAATTCTCTTCAGTTCTGACCCAGATGAATATGTTTGAACTTGAGACCTGGCAGGAGCCCTGAGTTCTGCTTCATAGGGTCCAGCCAGCCCCGTGGGTACCACACTGTAAACTGAACTTGACCCCGGCCAAGGCTGGAGTCCGTTTATCCTCAGCAGAAATGTGACTTCCTATTCCTGAGCCGGAAGGGGCTTAACTGACTTTTAAAGCAGGCTCAGAAGGCCTGTTGGACATCAAATAGATGGCGCGGAGTGCTATTTGGATGAGATAAGTGTAAAGGAATTAGAAACACAGAGGCCAGATTTCCCTCTGTTCAGGGCAGAGTGTGGCATGAGATGTATTGAGATGGAGCCCGAGGTTAATTAAAGATGAAGCATTTGGTAAACAGTCCAAGCACCTGACCGCATGCCCAGATCTGTGCCAGGCATGGGGCCAAAGAGGTAAATTAATGCAGTGTGTGATTATCAAACACACACAGTGCCAGGCTCTGTGCTGGGGCCCAATCTAGCCGCCTTTCTTGGCCTAGAGGAGTTCATCATCAAGAGGCAACAAGCAGCCCAATCCCAGGTTCTTAGAAGGAACTTTACAGCTCATTCTGTCCAGGCCCCTGACCACAGGCAGGTCCCCCAGATCCCTCCTCTGAGCTGGTTGGGAGATCCCAAGCTCTCCCTCCACCAAGTACTCAAGTGTTTAAAGAAAGCCACATGGGCAGCAGACAGATGGGCCTCCTGATCAGGTAGACAGGTGCTGACGGGACAGCCAGAGCCAGTGTGAGTTAGACATCTGCAGCCCACATCCACTGGTCCCTGAGGAACCACCCACTGGCCAGAATTTGAAACTTACATCCCAAAGTCTCCCCAAGCAGTAGAGAACTTGCTGACTTATACCCCCAAAGACCAGAGGCATATGGACAGAAATCTGCACAGCTGGGGCGTTTGAATTCTCTCTTCCTGGGCCAGGGAACCATCATTCCATCCACAGTCACTCATGTCCTTTGGAATAATCCACCCACCACTGCTGACATTTTTTTCCAGCATGTGATATGTGCCTCTCCTCACAAAATGCCCCTGTTGCTCTAAGAGCATTGTTAAGATCGCAAGTCCCTGGCTTAGGACTATTACCTTTGACCTTGAGGCAGGCAGAGGAGATCAAGGACTGAGAGCCAGCATGTTCCTGGTGGCCCTGGGTCCTGTCCCCCAGAACAGCTGACTGAATGACCAAGGGGCTTTCTAGATCAGGTCAGCATGGCCCTGTCTGCTGATCTCCCTCCAGGCTGTTCTGAGCACCAGCAATCCTATGAAGGCAGGGACCAGGAAGGTGTAGGATTCAAGCTGCAGGAAGCTGCAAAGGGCCACCAAGGGCCCCCACCAGCTCTGAGAGTCAAAGATCTGGAGTCTATGAAGCGTAGCCAGACTGAAGCATATTTGTCCTTCCCAGGACAGACAAGCTGTTTCACACATGCTGTTTCTCAGGCCTGGAAATGCCTTTCTTTACCCCTAACTGCTCATCCTTTGAGGATCAACTCAGATAGCACGTCCTCCAGGAAACCCTCTGCACTGACTGTGTCTCTGCTCTCCTATCATGCTGTGAGCTCCTCAGTGGCCACGGTCTTGTGAATTCATCTCTGTATCCTCACTGGACACAAAAATGGCACCCGAGAGTTGTGTAGAGAAGAACAGAGTAAGAAAGGAGTGAAGGAAGGAGAGGAGAGAGGCAGACCTTACCTCTGCTGGTGGAAGGGTCTCCGCAAAGCCAAAGCTGTCGTAAGATGGCAGGTGTCCCTAGAAGTGGTGAGTTTCCTGTCAGGAGCAGTGTGTGAGCAGGGGCAGTAGGCCCACTGGCTGGAGATGTGGTAGGAGAGTTGAAGTCTTGGCAAGGCAGTGGGGTAGGGTCCCTCCTGGCTCTTTGATACTCAGTTTCTTTGAACATTGTTATTTTTCCAAAAATTCATCTAAGCAGCCAAAAAAATCACCCCAGCTGGCTCTCTAAACCAGTAGTTTCAGAAATCAGTCCAGCCTCACTCCCTCCACCCTCCACCCCCATTCTTCAACAGCCCAGCTGGGCCCGATGCGAATTGGCACGCTTGCCTGCTGCCCTGGGGCAGGGGGACTTCTGGGCTGTGGGGCAAGGCTAAACCGAAACCCAGGCCCCTGCTCCCAGCCCAGAACTCCTTCCCTCCCTGCACCGCCCCCCCAACACTGGGGGGAGAGACGGGGGGGGGCTGAGAACCGACTGAGCCTCACCTGGCCCTTTCCCAGGAGCATCAGCACACCCTAAGCTCTCCCTCACGTGTGTGTGCTCAGTCGTGTCCGACTCTGCAACCTTTTAGACGGTGGCCCACCAGCTTCCTCTGTCCATGAGATTTTCCAAGCAGGAATACTGGAGTGGGTTGCCATTTCCTCCTCCAGGGGATCTTCCTGACCCAGAGATCGAACCTATGTCCCCTGCGTTTCCTGCATCAGTGGCAGACTCTACCAATGAGCCACTAGGGAAGCCTCTCAGCTCACCCTGCTCTTTCTCCAAGTGTAGGCTTTTCCTTGCCAGAGATAGCCTAGATACTCCTTCACTTTGCTGAGTGACCTTGGGCAAGTCCCTGCCCCTCTCTGAGCCTCCACCTCCTTATCTGTCAAATGGAGACTTCGTTTCCTGCTTGGGGAATGCCACGTGCAATCTTGGGGCTCCACAAAGGTGAGGCATCCCCCCTCCCCAGCCCAGGGCTTGGCTTGCCTCCCAGCACCTGAGGACTACCATGGGATCAGGAGCATGTGGCAGGCAAGGAAGGTGACAGAGTAGCGCGCCTTGAAGGGCCCCTCCGTCCCAAGTCCCACTGCGGGAAAGTGGACTTTGAATAAGACTCTCAGTCTAAGAAGTTTCTGGCAGGGCTCTCAGCCATCTTGGACCCCCAGTGGCTGGGGCGGCAGGGGCTGACTCTTGGTCAAGGGATGTTCCAGCCCAAAGCAAGGGAAGCCAGAGCCCCTGTGCCATTCCTGGGCCTCAGAGATTACAGGACATCCCGGCCCGACTCTCACTGTGTGACACAGCTTCAGATCTTAATGTATTGGAAAGGTATTCCTGTTGTTGTGCTTTTAATCACCTCTTCCTCTCACCTCTGTGAATTATCCTGAAGAGTTCTTTAAGAATATAATAGAAGACAAAGAAAGATGCTATTAATGTTATTTTGCCAAAAATATTTTTGTAGCATAATATATTAATAAAAGATATGATGACTTCAATGTGATGGTGTCTCTGCATGCCGATGGCTCCCCCTCCTCCTGCAGGGGACCGTGTGGGGAGTCACCTTTGCTCAGAGGGCCAGGACCTGAGGCGGTGGTGCAGAGTTCCTGGCATGGGCCCATTTTCCATGTAAAAATGCAGGCAGGTTCTGGGAGGGTGTTTGGGCAGGTGTCCAGTGGCTTGAGAGGACCCACCAAGTGGGGTCCGCGGAGCCTCTCCAGCCTTATTCATCTGAACAATCCACCTGGAACCTGGCTTCACCCTTGGGGCTCCCTCTCTCACTTCTCACTCTTCGGCACCTACTGGTTCAACTTCACTAACACTCCCACCTTTCTCCCTCCTTCAGCTCCACTCCAGTCCAGGTGTCCTCACTCTCCCCTGCCAACTAGGGCTGTGTGCTCTCTGGCCCACTCCGCCCACCAACCCCACAACCCCGGCAGCCAAAGTGAGCTCTATATACCACAATGACCACAAACCTCCCTGGCTTTTTCAAATTCATCCACGTCTTTACTGTTCCCAGTACACAAGTCGAGGTCACACAAGGCGCTCTGATAACTCCAGCCTGCCCATGTCCCCAGCAGGAAATTCACATCTTGCCCATTCCTCTCCTGGTTTCTACCACTGCAGGGTTGCCGGTCATCTCCGTGTTTCTTCAACTCACCCTACTCATCTCCGTCCTCTGCCTTTGCACACGCTTTCCCCCAGTGCTCCTTGTCTTTCTGCATCTCTACCCCTCATTCATCACTCTTGTACATCCTGCACAACCCAGCTCCAGCGGTATCTGCTCCACAAGGCTTCCCTTAATTCTCAAGCCGTGTCAGTCCTTCTGTCCCACAGCACCCCATTTGCCGTGCACCCGGGTTGTGCAGAAATGACCTGCATGTGGCTGTCCTTCCCCTGACTTCCTGAGGCCGGCACCGTGGTTGGTCATTTCTGTGTTGTCAAGGCACAGGACCTGACATCTAGTGAGTGCTCATGGAAGAAAGACACAGTCAGTGAAGGAGGGGAGGAAGCAGAACGGGAGGGAAGCCTTCAGGTAAATGATAGAGCTTTTATATCATATATTACAGTGTTAGCTGGTTAGGCTCTGCACAAGGTGACCATGCTATAAGGATCCACCAGGGAAGAGGCGTGGCCCCTGGGACTCGGTGGCAGAGGGGGCAGGTCACCACGAGGTTTGGCGTGGGCAAAGTTTCTAGTTTTGAAATCCCAGAGCCTTCAACAGTGCCAATTCATTGACCATGGATAATGAGTCCTTACTGGCTCCTATGAAGAATAATGTGGACTGCACTTGGGCAGCCCGCCCCCGAGACAAAGGTGACAATGCAACTGCAAGCAAATGCTTATTGAGCATCTATTATGATCAAAGAGTGTTCCAAGCATTTCTGTCTTAAATTATTTTATTCTCACAACTCTTCTTCCTTATCTCTATTTTATAGATGAAATAACTGAGAGAGAGAGAGTTAAGTAACTTGTTCACAATCACACAGCTTATAAATGCTGGAGCCAGGAGTGCAACCCAAGTAGTTAAGCTCCAGGACTGTTTTCTTAACCTTTACTCAAGCTCTTCTGTGCTGGCTACAGCCTGTGAGGTGAGCAAGGAGGCAGTGCCTCCCCCATTTCACAGGGCAGTGGGTGAGGTTAGGTCCCATCTGAGGCCCAATGCCTCTTCTGTGTCCTGGAGCCAGCCCAGACCTCTCTCCCACCCACTGACTCTGGACAGAGCTCCGGATAGGAAGCCTCCTGCTCCCCACCCACTCCCTTCCCCACTGAGATGGTCTTTAGAGTTGGCATCAATAGTGTAAAGATCACAGCTGTAGCCTGTGACCATGTGTTCTCTGCCCCTCGAGCTGTGGTTGTACTCAGGAAAGGAAGCCACACGTCTACCTGCCTAGACGGTGGGAAAGTGAGCCCTTCTCCTTCCTTGGGGGATGTGGTCTTCAGTTCAAGAAACTATGACCCAGGAATGGGGTCTCAGACACTATGGAAAGAGTGACCAAGGGGACCAGGGACTCATCAGAGCCCCTGACACCTTGCTCTCCACATGGCAGAAGGTGGCAAGAGGGGAGACCCAGTGTTTATACCTGGTACACTCATGTGTTTGCACCTCCTTTCCTGGGAGCCTTGCCCACCTCTCCTGCCCTGAGCTCTGGGCAGGCTCCTGTTGACATGCTTTTCCTGGGAGAAACCAGATGCTCCTTCTGATAATAGATCATTAGATTCAGAAGAACCCCATCTTAGCCCCACCTCTCTGTAGAGTGACCCAGATAAGAGGCTTTCTCCATACAGCTACAAAGATCAGAGCTGGGTCCAGGGAGGAAACTACAGGGAGTTGGGGAAGCTTCCCAGAATTCTCAGGACACAATGCTGAGGGGGTAGAGGGTCCTCTGCCTCTGGGAGGTGTGTGCAAGGGGACAGGAAGTCTCCATGGAGAAGTGATCCCCACCCCAGGATAAAGGCTGGCTAGTTGGCCATCTCTAGCTCCCTCCGACTCTGACTCTTCTTTTTGATCTCTCCCCCTCTGGGCCCTCTCCATCTTTTTATGTCCCCCGAGGCCCCTCCTTCCTGGCCCTGAGCATCGAGGGCCCTGAAGCCAACCCTGCAGCGGCACAGTGTCCCTGTGGCACATGGACCCTGTATCAGGGACGCAAGCCCTGTGCTGCAGGTCCTGCTGCGGCCAGCACTACCGCTGCGGGCAAGCTCCGCCCCTCTCTGGACCTGCCTCCTTATTTACAGGAAAGCAGGTGGAGCCAATTGTAGTCACTAAAATTCCTTTGAGAAATAGCAACCTCCATTTTCATGTGGAGATATTCCTCTGCGGGTGCCTGAGGTAGGAAGGAGGTGGAGGAAAAAGGATCTTTATGACCAGGGGAGCAATGCTGTCATGTTGCTTCTGAAATGGATGGCAAGAGGAGAAGGAAAGAGGAAGGATGAGCTGGGAAGATAGAGAAACAGAGGGAAGTAGGCACAGCACCTCCTAGGCAGAGAGAAAACCTGCAGATAGCAGTCATTTCCTGGCTGCAGCAAGAAACCCAACTCCACCTGCTCTGCCGATTCCAAGTATAGCCTCCATTGCTTGTGACAGTTTGGGATGAGGGGACCACGGGAGGGGCTTTTCCCTCCAGTTGACATGGAGTGAAGCAGAGGTGATGAGGTTAAACAACAGGGAGCTGGAAGCCAGGAGGACCACCTACCTGAGTGTGAGCCCTAGGGAATCCACTGACTGGGAGTCAGCCATTTAGCCGGTGTCCAGGGCGATCTTAATCAGGGATGTTGGAGCCAGAATGCTCTGGCCGTGTCTGGGTTATGAGTGGACACAAATCACAAGCTTAGACCTGCCCACCTTGGGCTCCTATGAGTTGAGGGTTTGGGGAGCTGTCCA